GCGCCCGTCTTCCTATTTGGCCGGGAAGCCATCTCCATGCTCCCTCGTCATTGGGTGTCATGTGAAGTCAGGTAATTACTAGAAGTTTGTTTTTTTGTTTGTTTTTTGGGGTTTTTTTTGCATTTAGGTGTGGGATTCACAAGAAAGGTAGGCAATGTTTAGTGTGTGTGGCAAGGGGGAGGGGGAGGGTAGCCCAGAAAACAACTATAAATTGGTCCCACTACTCTTTTATGCCTATTGGAGATAATTATAAACTAGTCAAAGCTCTTAAAAGAGACGCGATTAAATGTCCTTATGAATGATTGTTCCACTGAGATAACAGAACTTGGTGAAACTATAACCAGGGCCCAATTAAGAGCATCATGCCTTGTGCTGCGCATTTTGGTGGGCCTTTTTTGGGAAATACATAAAAAGAAAACATTTTAATTGCCATTAAAGTGCATTAACAAAACATTGGATATCTTAAACACACAGAATAAACAGACTTTTTCACTGAACCCCAAATCACCTAAATGGAGCAAACTGGTAGATTAAAATTAAACTACACATTCACTTTTCGTGCTTTTTGCTTGCAAATTTATCAGTTGTAGAATCGACCAATTACACTGCACATTTTATATATAATATATAGAAAACATTATGTGACACAGAACGTTCTGCTGAGTCCTGCGACATTTGTAACGGTTGCTGATGGGTTGAAGGTGTCAAAAATCCTGTGTAATAAAATTAGTTAGGAGGCCTTACACTGGCCGGCAGATATTAACACTGCCCAGCAATATATTGGGGGTTTTCATACTGACCAACAACATAACGGAGGTATTCACACTGACCACTAATGTAAAAGAGGTATTCACACTGACTGGCAATAAAACTGATTTTTTCTTACTGACCACTAATGTAACAGAGGTATATACACTGACCACCAATGTAAGGAAGTATTTACACTGACCAGCAATGTAATAGAGGTATTCTTTAAAAGAGGTATTGGTCATTTACATATGAATGGGTTGTGGCTTATGCATATGTAATGAAAAAATCAATTCATATCTAAATCTACCGCCCGGGCCTATTTTCAGTGGTGGGCCTGGGGATGGTGCTCCAAATGCCTCTATGGTAATCCTGACTATAACCATTCCAGCTAAAATGAGGCACTCTAGTACTAATTATTTAAATAAGCAAGCGAACACTATATAACATATTTCAATAACTGGCCTCCATGTTTACCCCCTAATTCAAAACGTAACTATAGAATTTCACCAAATGCTGAAAGGGGATTTACCTCTTACAAAAGGTGTTTTAAGCATTCAGATCAGCTATGAAATCTCAGACACTTTTTAGTGGATAAAAGGCCTACATATCAAATATACAGTATTATAATACAGTGACCCAATGAACTCAACAATTTAAAGAGACTTGAAGACAGCATTTATTTCCGATGCTGCCCTTGCCTGGATAGTAACTACTTATACACTTCACATTCTACAGAAAGTTAGGTAGCATTGGACAACAAGAAGCCCCCACCACCACTAGAAATGGAAGGGGAGGGGGTAGTTTAGAATAGGTTAGGAATATGGAGCAAAGAGTTTAATCTTAATTTAAACCTGTCCTGTAAAGCAAAACTCTAGTAGAAAACAAAATGAATAGCCCATTAAAAAATAAAGTAAATAGCAACTTCTGGTCTACTACAAGATGTCCTTAACTTTCCAGCTTAAATGACAGCCAGCATCATTCAACCTGCTTTCTCTGAGCTCAGGCTGTTATTTATCAGTCCCTGGACAGTGAAGGAGAAACAGCCTTCTATCATGCTATCAGCATGCTTCCTGTCAGTGCATAAACTAACTGGTTCCCATTCTAATCTCTGCTGTACCGGGGACTGCAAGAGGCTCATACAATGACAAATTCAGGTGCTTGCACTGCTTCCGTTCAAAAAATACATTTACTAATCAGAAAGGTTTGGGCTTTTTCTGATAAGACAGAGTGCAATACTGTATTAGCTACTTTGATTTTTCTGCTTGCTCTCTATATAGGCCATACTCACTTGACTATCTCCTCCTAAGTTAAATGGGCTTTGCCTTTTAGGCAACAATGTGTTGTATTGTTCTTTTTCTTTCACTATTGACTTACTATGTTTCTTTTCTTACTACTGAAATGACAAATTGATGTTATCTTATTGTATTTCTATTGTCCTTGTTATAAATAAATATATTTTTTTTTTAAATACATTTACTAATGTATTCAGGATTGCATAGTTGCATTAATTTGTGTCTTTTATAGAGATGGGATTTAAGAGAAAATCCAGGAAACACGTGAAGGCAATCAAAAAGGCCATTATATATTTTGGTTCTCTTTAATGTACTGCAGCAAGGTTTTCAAAGATCACCTAACAGGGTAAATAGAGGGACATTAGGGCTGTATGGTGAGTCATGATGGGCGGAATCTTTAAATTTCAGGCTTTCTGTATGAGAGCGACAACAAAGTGTCCAAGACGGGTGTTTCACCATCTCACAAATCCTCATTGAAGAATCACCAGATCACCAACAAACACTGGCTACAATGGTATACTACAACAATGCCAAGATAAAAAAATATGAAGGATTAAACAGGAAGCTATGTTTCCTATATGCAGCTCAATGTTTCAGTTTCAATTTTGGCTGAAGTGCACCTTTAATTGTAGTTCAAAATTACTATTCTTTCCGAAATGGTACTAGCCTAAACATAATTAAACACATGTCATTGGTGCACCTCACTTTGGCATTTCCTGTTACACATTGCACAAGACATTTTTTCCTGACATCTTCAATATCATCTCATATGTTTCTGCAGAAAAGGTCAAGGGATACAGGAACAACCTCCTTCAGCTCTCACACCTGTGCACCCCCTATGGAGCAGAGCAATTTTTTACATTTCTGCTATGGGCCTGTTACTTCAGCAATAACCCTGTCATTACTTAAGATAAAAAAGTAATACATTTATCTTTTATTAACAAACAAGGCTTTCTTTTGGTGATATTGTCCTGAAAAAAATTTTTTTTCATGCAATTGATAGACAAAAAAGTGTAAGAAAACAAAAAAGCACTTTTTTCTATTGATCAGTATTAGTTTTACCATTTAATAAAATGTGTGTTACTGTAGATAATAAGTATACATTTTATTCCATAATTTGCCCTGATTAAAATGACACTACAATTATGGTTCTGGTACAAATCATGGCAAAGTTAAAAATGAAATAAAGGGTCTTCTTTTTTCAATTTTGCTCTTTTTTCTAATGCAACGCAAAAAATTAAGGAGCAAACAAAAGTTTAAATATTAATTGTTAGAAAAAGATTTAAAAAATAAATTATCAGGAAAATAATAGTTAGGGGGAGAAGGGGAAAAGGAACTAACTAGGACTGATAAAGATAAACTAAGGGGGCTATTCACAAAGGAGCCGAAGGATCCAGCCGTAGCTTTGGCTGATCCTTCGGCTCTCTTCAGCCGCCGGAGCCCTTTGGTTCAGTCAAACCGAAGGGCTGCTGTATGGGCTATTCACAATAGCCCGTAGAGCAGCCGAAGGCGGCTGAGCAGCTCAGCCGAGCCGAAGGCATTTGCTTCGGCTCGACTGAGCCAAAGTGTCAGCCGAAGTAGGGGGGAACGGCCTGCCAAAGGCCGGCCTTTCGCCCCACAAATGACAGCGGGGCGGAGCCAGCCGTAATCTCACGGCTGGCTCCGCCCAGTTGCAATGACGGATCAGCGTCCCCAAATGACCTGGGGAAACTAATCTGTCATTAAACAAAACAACTGGGCTGACATCACGGCCGGCTATGCTCAGTTGTTATTCACTGGCCAGGACCTGCTAGAAGACTCTAGCAGGTGCCGTCCAATAGGAAACAGTTGGGCGGAGCTAGCTTTCACTGCTAGCTCCGCGCAATTGTTTTTGTTTTTTTCAACTTTTTTTTTAGACTCTTTTCATTTATTTGCTATTCTGCTCATTATGTGAACAGGGGTGAACGGCAGCGAGTGAGCTGCCAGAGCTTTGGCTCAGCTGATCCAGATGTTGGATCAGCTGAGTCGAAGTCTTTCTACACTTCGGCTCTGCATGTGCGGCTGACCGAAGTGCAGCCGAAGGCAGGCGATGTCTGGTTGATTGCAGCCGAAGTACGGCTGAAATCAGCCGTACTGATCCGGAGTGAATAGCTGAACGTTGTTCGGCTCACTTCACTTTGGCAGGGTTATTCACTCGGCTGCCTTCGGCAGCTTTGTGAATAACCCCCTAAGTGTTAGTAAGGGGTTATACAAAATTTTGATAATTAAAAAAACCTTTCCTGTTATTTTTTATTTGTCAAGTTGCTTTAACTGACATCATATGCAGATTGATCACTCAGCTGTAGATTCTCAAATCATCTCTGAATTTGTGCTGACACTGCCCTTTCTTCTGGAGGGTGGCTCTGAGCTTGCTCCCGTGATGGACTACAATCTCAATACAAATCAGTAAACTAAATGTGGGAGCAAGCTTAGAGTGGTGGCTACTTAACAATACACACAGGGACCATAGGGAACAAAAAGTAGCCACCCTCCAGAAAGAAGGACAGTGTCAGCACAAATTAAGAGATGATCTGAGGATCTACAGAAAAACAATACACAAATCAACTATGGTTTTTTTTAATATGTAAGGTACTTGAATGCATTTTTAAGATTTAATTCCTGAGTTTATTGTCACTTTAAGTTCACTGCCCCTGTTGGCAGAATTTTGCCCAAATTTCCAGATTTGCAATACAATTGAAGCTGATACTCATATATTTGCTGGTCCCTAGTGGCTGTTGTGGTTAATTCCCATAAAGTCATCTTATATCAACAGGTACTTTGAAGCACCTTTACCCACAAAGTCATCATTTTAACTACAGCTGTTGTACAACTTGGGAATTGTATTTTACTAAACCATGTTCAGTAGAAGCCAATTATACATAATAAACTGCTTACATGCACCTGAAAGTGTCCTATATCCTGGTTTCAGTGCAGACTTACTTGCAGAAGAAGGTTCATTATGAACAGGGGGAGTAGAAGGGAGGAAAGACGGGTAGCCCACAAAGAAAGAACGTAGGGAACGTTCGGACAGAAGAGGTGAGCGCTGAGATGGGATATTCTCACAGCTGCCCACGCTGTTGTGAATCTTGAGGTTCAGAGGCTTGTTCTTTTTCTTTGTCCTGGGAGAGAGATCAGGGGATAAAATAAAAGAGAAGGAAAGGAAATAAGAAAATGTTAGTTGAATTATTAGGAAAGCTAGAGTGAAAGTGTTAGTAAGAAGCAAAGGTCAGCATTATTAAAAAGAAACTAAATAAAACATTTAAAATAATTGTGCTAATATAAGATAACTAAGAATGCATTTTTGTGTCAGGACCGAAAAACAAGCATATATTTCAATGTTTTCAACCTGAGTAGTACTTTATGTGACATACAACCTTTTTTATTGTATACAGTAACGATACTATAAAAGTTCATTGGTCACAAAGCAACGTAAAAAATGCCATGAAGTTATGCAATTATATGTACCAAAGATTATTGAGCTTTTACATTGCATTTTCTCAAACAATACATTAAACAGACTTTACTTTATAAATTAAAAAGCCAGGATCTTGACATTTAAATTATGCTCAAACACTTCAATAAAATAGTCCAAAATTTTACAGAAATAATCCAAAAAATAAAAAACAGAAAGAAGGATAATAATTACACTATAGTAGTGGAAACTATAAAAGGCAAAAAATAGTAGTAGCACAACCTATTCTCAGTGAATATGTCCCATTTGCATGAGAACTCAAGAGTTAAACAAAGGTTTGCCTTTCTTATTAGACAAGAGTGTAGACAGAGTGCACCTTCAATCCAACTATAAAGTCTAACTCACAATATAATCAGGCATTCAAGTTGCAGTAATCTTAATCAGTCATTGGTGGCTGTGGGTGGCAGCAAGCACAGTGCTAACAACTATTAGCTGTAATGCTGATGACTCCAAGCATTGCTTGCTCATGATGTCACAGTTGTGGCTCAAGCAAAATAACTGAATAGGTAAAATAGGAGAACATTCAAAAACATCTAGTCCCCTATGAAAAGAAATCCCTCAAAAAGAAGATGGCCTGGTGAATAGATCACAATTAGTTAAGTAATATAACAAATTTATTTTTCCCCTTGCCTTTCTAAAATAGGAGAACACTTTACAAAAATGCAAAGGTTTGTGTCGAAGGGCTTTGAGCTTCTGTTGCCGGCACCAGTTTGGCATCAGTTTGAGGCACATCTGAGATTATTCACAATGTATTGACACGTTAATTTGACCTGCAATTAGCCTGCTTCAAGTAGATTTTGCATTTTCATAGACGTGTATGAGAATGCAAAACCTGTCTGACAACAAAAGCCTGTGCACACAGGCTTTACTGTTAGAATCTCCCGACCACTGTCTAAATAATAAAAGTTATTATTAGGCAGCTAATTAGGCACTACAAATTTATTTGTGCCATAAAAAGAAGCTGAAGTGTTAAATGCCGTGAAAATTAACAGTCAAAGTTTCTTGCATTATTGGGTATTGCATTTACACAGGTTTTCATGCATTTGATCTTGGTTAAATATTTTTTAACTTTCTACACTTCATAACACAAATCTGCTTCAAAAACATAAAACTTGAAAAGGTTGTTTTGTAAATAGAAAATGGTGAAATGCAGAATAAATTCAAAACAAAAAAGCATTGAGTACAGCCAAAGAGAAAACAACTATACTACCAATTAAACAATGCATGCTTATCAGTATACAAATCTGTGCAGAATGATGCATGGGCATTTTGATAACTTCACTCAGCACTTTCAACCCTTTCTGACATGACTAGAGCAACTGAAAAGAACAGGAATAAAAAGGGACTTTCTACATTGCAGAACCCAGAACTTGGCTTGAGATCTATGGTATAGATGGCTTCAAAGGCCATAAATTTGCAGCTGCCCAACCATGATATATGTCAACAGGGATGAGCAAATGGTGGCGTGTATCAGTCTGAGAATTCTGCCTCTAAATCCGATTCACAAACTGACTGGATTAAACACCAATTTAGTAAATCCTAGGTGACACAAATGTGCAAATAAATGTCTACTGCTATTAAACTTGCTGACAGATTTGTGAGCAGAGTATTTGAAATCTGGATTCCATAAATACATTCTGCAGGTCTGTTATACTTCTTGTGCTTTCCATACATTTGATTGAACATTCAATGTAACACCCAGTAAGCAATGGGGTTGATTTAGTAAGGCTGATGTCCTAATGGCGATCTTAACACTGATGACAAATCAACAGCATCAGGATTGCTAAGAGACTGCCTGCCAGTGTGTATGGAATTGGTCCATTGCTAGCGGGCCAGTGAGATATTACTTCCCCACTGCCCTGTCCATAGCGAACAAGCTTTGGCAATGTTTCAGGTCAACCATGGAGCAATTCCACAGAGGTAAGTGAAAGCCTCCCTGGTGTGACTCTGACACTGGTGATGTATCACTAGCGGCAGAGTCAACCATGTCACATCAACCTTAAGCAGTTAAGCATGTTTACCTCATTCACTACCCTTAATGAATGAGGTGAAGATGCTCTGACTTCAATACGCCAATCACGTGCAAGCACAAATCCTGTTTTGTATTTAATTTACCTTGTACATGATTGGGTATTCTTTGCAAAGCAGATTTTACACTTAGCTTTACCTCATTCACTAAGCTAAGTGAACATTCACTTTGCAAAGTGCACATGATTTAAACTTTTAGTAAATCAACCCCAATTAATCCAATTATTTCTAGTTTTCTATTATATTACCAGATTATTTAATAAAAAGAAAAGGGTACAAAATACAAACCAACCAGTCGTTATATCGTGTACTGGTCTGATTTCTGCAAAGTGAATTGTGATTGGTTGCTATTGCTTACTGGACTTTGCTTTTTGAGGGCTGGTGCAGACTTGGGCGATCCCAGGCCGCGTGTCCCGGGACCGCGCAATTGTGTGCAGCTGCACACAGCGGTTGCCGCGCGGCCCCATTGATTTCAAAGGGGTTACATACGTGCGACAATCGCTAAAAAAAAGTACATGTTTAGATTGGACTACAATCTCACTTTTAGTTTACTAACTTGTATTGAGGTTTTAGCCCATCACGGGAGTGAGCTTGGAGCGTTGACACACAGGGACTATGGGGAACAAAAGTAGCCACCCTCCAGAAGGAGTGTCAGCACCAATTTAGAGATGATTTGAGGATCTACAGCTGAGTGATACACAAATAAGATACATTTTTGTTAATAGTTAAGGTACCTGAATGCATTTTTAAGATTTAACTCCTGAGTTTAGGGTCACTTTAAATATGGTGTCAATTTTCCATAACATTTTAATGGTCTCTGCTTTGTATGTTTATACATTTTCATCATAGCCATATGTACAACTCATTATGTTGCTATAACATTAGAGACAATCCTACAACAACTTACATTTTCTGTTTAGTCTATTTATCTCAGTGACATCTTAATTTACATAATCACATAAACGACAAACTTGCTACAGAAAAGGGGCACAACAGGGATTCATGGAAAATAATGATTTTTTATGATTTGTACTGAAGATACGATTAGCACGATATAGCGCTGCTATATTCATTTTTACAACATTTCCATTTTGGTCCAGTTACCCTGTATGTTTTATATCTCAGGAGACCACGGTACTTATTTAAATCAATCTCATTGCTACAATAATCAGAGCTGGGCATATTCAATGATTTGTGCTACATAGAAAAGTGTAAATTGCTATTGTTCACTGAGAGAATTTCACAGGGAGATGGTGGAAATCTAGGGATTAAGTAAGAAGACTAAAATATAAAGCTGACATGTTCTCAAAATGTATTTGAAATATTTAACCAAATATAAATCATATAAGATATCATGAACCTATGAACCTGTTTTTTTAGAATCCTGCTGAAACTATGGGGTCTATTCACAAAGCTGCCGAAGGATCTGGCCGTAGCTTCGGCCGATCCTTCGGCTGGCTTCGGCCCCAGGACCCCTTCGGTTCAGGAGAACCGAGGGGGTGCTGTACGGGCTATTCACAATAGCCCGTACAGCTCCCGATCACGGCCGAGCAGCTCAGTCGAGCGCTGAGCCGTGCTGAAAGCCGAAGCTGGCTTAGACCCCTATGCCTAATAAGTAAACATGAATGTTAGACAGATAACTAAATGCACAGATGCGAGTTGTTTTACCTACCAAAGAATTTGTATTTCTGTCCATACATTACTGAGTTTACACAGCCCTGTCACAGCTTTGCAGGACATGAGACCTGATTTTTCTTTTCTGCAGTTAAGGAACATATTGAGGTCTTGTCCCTTTCCCAGCCAATGACTGGACAGTGAAAGGAGAAGCACCATACTGATTACTTCCTCCCTCTATGACCCTGCTCTCTTCTCCTATCCGCACATCCCTTGTTAGCACATGAGCACTGCAGCAAAACGAATTGGTCTTTGTGTTGCTGTATATTCTTCTCCTAGTCTGAGCTCTGCTGTTCAGAGGATTACAAGAGGCTAATGCCAAACCGAATTCAGGTAGGTACGGTGCTTGACATAAATAATAAATGTAATGTATTAATGAATACAGAGATGCGTAGTTCTGCATACTTTTTCAGTTCAGCAACTGTCTGGTAAAACAGTGTCACCAGGAAAGGACGTAATGGTGACCCTCTCTAACAGAGCAGTAAAACCTGACAGGGCATCTAATCCTTCCCCACTACATCTAAAGCTAGAAAAATGGATTATAGATACATTTGAAGTACTAGACTGCACGGCTATCTATTTCTAGGTTTAGTGGTTTAGTGGTTATTACTTCTGCTTTGGGGCACTGGAGTCCCTGGTTTGTAAAAAAGTCAGGACACTATCTGCAAGGAGTTTGCATGTTCTCCGCGTGTTCGTGTGGGTTTCCTCCAGGTACTCCGATTTCCTCCCACACTCCAAAAGACATGCTGGAAGGTTAATTGTCTCCTGTCTAAATCAGCCCCGTATGCATGTGAAATAGTGATCTTAGAGTGTAAGCTCCTCAAGAGCAGGGACTGATGTGAATGTGCAGTATGTAAAGTGCTGTTTACATTGCTATTTAAATACCTGAAATAAATAAACAAAATGATGGGTCATAGCTGTAAATAAGACTCTTGACTAAGGATC